GACTTCTCCCTGCAAATAAATACTTAAAAAGAAAATATAATCATTCTCTAGTGTTCTTTACCTGCTCACTCCACTTAACAAACTATTATGGACATCTTTCCATACCAATACATTTAGATCTATATCTTTACTTTGATTCATTGAATAGCATTGCATTTTATTGATTACTATAGGTATTAGGCCGATTCCAAATTTGTACATGTTTTAGCAATCACTTTACTGTATTTCTCCTGAAAAAAATATAAAAAACACATTAAAATTGGGGCATGATAATTAATTTATAGTTGTATGGTTTCCTTATAATCAGCAGGTCTTATTTAATATTTGTTAAAGTCAGAGTTTGTTGTCTTAAAATTGCTTAATAATACATACACATGTATGTGTGTTTTATTACAGTCTCAGATAAGAAAACAGCTCGAGCAAGGAGAAGGCACAATCCGGTCTCGGTCATTCATCTTTAAATAGACCTTCCCTGACAGGAATGTCGTGGCCCAGGAGTGGGACAGCATTCTCCCTGATGTTGTGATCCGTAGCAGGCTTCAGTTTTCTTTAAAAAAAAAAAAAAAAAAAATCAAAGGCAGATGCTGATTTGGATCTTTTGGAACATACTACATTTGCTGACTCATGGAAAACTGCTGCCTTTCAAGCTGTTGTCATGTCCTTGAGAATATGCAATAGTCAGTCATCGTTCTGATGGAAACCAATGAAACCACCATGCCCAGTGTGCTCACTCTTAGAACACACAACGTAAGACGAAGGGTTTGTGTTTACCCACATTGTGGTCCCCAGGCTTGTGGACGTTTTTGTCCTGGAGTCCCGCTCTGTGTCCTGGTCATCTTGTCTGACATCCAGGTTGTACTGTGAACCAAGAAGGAAGCAGCTGTGTACTTTGAGGCTTAGGCTGCCTCTTCAGAAAATATATTGAGACAGCATACAACAAAGATTGGGAGGGCAGAGTTTTTTTGCTTTTTTTTACCCCTTTATACAAAGAAGAAAACAATTTCCAAAACTAAAATGGAAAATGTTTGCAGTATTTATTTTCTCTTTGTAAAAGGCTCAGAAATCTAGTGGGGCCTTCTTTCTCTTCTAATGATGAACCTGTGAGAACTAAATGTCTTATGGGTTATTAAGTAGGATGATAAAGATAAAAGAAGGTATAATCTAAAAAAATCTCTTTGTAGTCATTTTGGAAGAAATGCTTTATAAAGTGAGAAAACATAAATTGAGGAAGGGTAATAAAGTTGTAGATGACTTGTAGGTAACAATAATCAATCACTTGTAAGCACTAAGTTATCTTCATTTAACATTTCTCCAAACAGACTGAAAGAGCTTTTTCAAGGAGAGTGTGTTATAACAATCCCTTTCTGAGAGTGAGCTGTAGGTGTTGGCCCGAGAGAAGTAAGAACCCCGTGGCACCAAGATGGCTGAGCACCCTGCACCTCATTCAAGAGCAACTTCTGTTGCTGGTTGAGGGAGCAACACTAAATCCACATGAAGTGGGATAGCTACTACTGCCCCTGCGTTTATTACACAAACTAGAATAAGGGGATTGAAATAGGGGAACGAGAAACTGTCATCCAGAGCTCATAAGTAGGTTCTATTACCTTTATTAACACTGGTTTTTAATATAGTTTGGAGGAACCCAAAAATAAAAAGATTATGGTGCAAAGCTATGATAGGACACTGTTCTTGCAGTCCAAAGTGATACTTTGTTAAATAAATTTTTTTTCTGTTATTTAAACATCTCGGACTCAGAAATTGCATTAAATTTTTGTGTATTTCAAAAAAAAAGGTTTTAATGTGTTTTGTTATGTTTTTATCATATGGATAAAGCAAATGTCAAGTTAAAATGTATTATGTAAAGTCTGAAAAGTAAGGAGTTACAGAGGAAGCCTTACTGAGCTGTATGGTTTTATGTTTTGTTTTCTTAGAACCACGGGTGTTTCTTTGTGTAGGTAATATTGTTTTTACCTTTTGTAAAGTATGTCATGTTTATTTATACTATTCTTTGGTTATGTTCATTGAAAGAGCATGTTTTTTCTGTGTCTGTAATATTTTGCTATTAAAATATATTTTAATATCTTTAAAAGAAACACAATTGATTAATATCATAAATAGCAGTAAAGAATACAGGTTGGTTAGACTATGAGCCATGAAGATTTGGAGTTGAAGAAGTAGTCTCATCCTCAAGGATTTCTTAGTTCAATATGGAAAAGATAATAAAAATACATAATAATGTTTAGAAGTAAAAATAAATATCACCAGCGAGGTACACAAAGCTATATGATGGAGAGTGTGCTGCGGTGGAGATAAAACCATTTTTTAAAGGGTTTAACATGAAAAGGCTGAGCTAACATATACCCACTATGCAACTGGTACTAGGCTTTACCTGCTCTCACAGCCTTGAAAGTGATCATGATTTCACCTCCTGAGAGGAGCCTGGTGAAGGACCCTCAGCTATTTCTATAAGCCCAAGATGAGGGAAAATGTTTTGTGCCAATGGCCGATGCAAGTAGGGTTGTTTGGGAATAGAGACAGTGGGATATCTGTGTCAGACCACGTCTGCTAGCAGGTATGTGCTTATCATAAAGGAAGCACTCACTTCATAAGACACAAAGTATTAGCAGTTACAGTAGTCCCCGTTATCCATCGGGTATAAGATCTAAGCCCCCCAGTGGATGCTTGAAACCACAGATAGTACCAAATCCTACATATACTATGTATTTTTCCAAAAACATACATACCTATGATAAAGTTTACAAATTAGGAAAAGAGATTAACAACTAATAACAAAATAGAATAATTATAACAATAGTGTAATAGAAGTTATATAAATATGGTCTCGCTCAAAATATCTGGAATTTTTCATTTAATATTTTCAGACCATGGTTGACTACAAGTAAATAAAACCATGGAAAGCAAGACCACAGATAAGGGGGGACTCCTGTAGTCTCAGAATTCCCACTAAGAATACCTTGCCCCACAGAAGCACCATTCCTTCTGGACCAGAAGAGTCACCCCTATGGTGGGGATGGCTATTACTGCCCCTGAAATAGCTACCCCCTATTCCAGAGCCACTGGACATCAAAATTCTCAGTGGCCAAAGCCCTTCTCTTCCCACCCAAGTAGCATCTGAGAGAGTGGGCTCTTAGATTATCACCTCTCAAAAATGTGAGGCATGCAGGTCAACTAGTTAACGCTGTGTCCCTGTTTGAGGTAGGGAGCAAGAGAATAATTACAGAGTGAATGTCAATCCTACCTCCCGCCCCCTCTACTACTTTAAGTCAGCAGCAGCAAACCCATTTTTGTCAAACTCTTCCCAGCCAAGTACTGTATCTAGCAGAGTTCCAGGCTTGAGCCTATCCTGCTTACTACAGATTCAGGCTGTCTGGATGTGATGTCAGGCAGTTTCTTTAAATCATCTGTGGTGAAGGATCAGATTTTCCTTTTTAAAAAATTTCAGACTGGGATTTTGTAATAGCTGAAAAATGAAATAAAAAATACAAATATCACAGTCTCATTTTTTATCAGACTCTGCAGACCTGAAGTTACTGTCATATTGCCGTAAGATTTTAAACTCTTTGCTCTCATTTTCTGTATTTCACTTGTCACGTACTACAGATGGACAGAACAGCCCAGTTTGTGGACCACATTCTGAGGAGTTCTGGTCTGACGGACTGGCAGGTAAAAGGAACCAAGAATCTTCTTGAGAAAGAATTCATCTGAAGGTAGAGAGGATTGAGGCGCGTGTTTTACTGATTATGGACATCGGTTATAGGGTGATTCTGAACACATTCTTCTCTGTTCCTCAGCCGCTAAGCAAAACCTAAAGAAGTTATTTCACTAGACTCTTAAGGGACAGACACTGAGATTGTAAGTTGTGTCACATTTATAACTGTGAAGATGGTGCCCTTAGCCTTCAGCAGGCTCTAGGCACCCATATTCTCGGTCAGGAGCAGCAGCCATGGCCTGGGTTTGCAGGCGGAGCTCATCCAGGAGAATAGAAGAGCAATTGGAAACTGGTTAAAGGGCTCTATGGGGACTCCCAGAAATGTGTGAAGGCATTTGAGAGGGACTGGATTTTGCACAAAAGCAGCAAGGATGGAACCAGAGAAGTGGCCCAGTGGACTCCTGAACCGGTGGTCATTTCCCCAGTTCCAGAATGCAATATTGGCATAGACACACTCAGCAACTGGCAAAATACCCACATTCGTTTTCTGACCCGTGGAGTGAGGGCTATTATGGTAAGAAAGGACAAATGTAAGTCACTAGAACTGCATCTGCCTAGGAAGAGAGTAAAACCAAAAGCAATAGCACATTTCTGGAGGGATTTCAGAGATTAGTGCTACCACGGAGGACCGGAAGGATGCAAGGGCGGCGATTCTCACAACATCTCGCTCAGCCCACCTATTTGGCCTGTGCAGAAAATAGATGAATCTTGGAGAATGACAGTGGATTATCACAAATGTAATCAGGTGATGACTTCAATTGCAGCTACGGACGTAATTCTATTGCTTAAACAAATTAACACATGCCCTGATACGTAGCTATTGATCTGGAAAATGTTTTTTTTTTTCTTTTTTTTCCTTAACACTTTGTTAGTAAAGAGAACCAGAAACAGTTTATCTGGCAAGGCCAGAAATATATCTTTACCATCCTACCTCAGAGGTATATCAGTTCTCCAGCCCCATGTCATATTTCGTCCACACAGACCATGATCATCTTCCACAAGACATTCTCACCCTGGTCTACTGCACTATTGACGTTATGCTAATTAGACGGAGTGAATAAGCCGTTAACAACTACTCTAACCTTATTTGTAATACATTTGTATGTCTGAGGGTGGGAAATAAATCCAGCAAAAAATTAATGGCCTTCCACTTCACTGAAATTTTAGGGGTCCAGTGGTGTGGGACAGGTCAAGATATCTTTTTAAATAAAGATTAACTTGTTGCATCTGGCTTTTTCCACGACCAACCAAACAAACCAACAAAAAGGCACAGTATCTAATTAAACTCTGGATTGGAGAAAATATATTTCTCATATTGCTCATGGAAGTTCATTGGTCTTACCATGTTCCCCACCATCCTGAAGCATCTGGCCTGACAGAATGATGGAATAGCCTTTGAAGACTCAGTTTATGGCACTATCTAGATGGCAATACTTTGCAGGGCTGGGGCAGTGTTCTCCAGGAAGCTACATATGATCTAAACCAGCACTCAGTACATGGTGCTACTTCTCCCATAGCCGGGATGCCCAAGTCCAAGAATCAAGGGGTGGAAATGTACATAACACCACTCACTATTAACCCTAGTGACCTTCTGACACAATTTTGCTTCCTGTCTCTACGTCCTTAGGCTGTGCTGGTCTTGAGGTCTTTGTTTCAAAAGGAAGAATGCCTCTAGTTACTTTGGGCTTTTTGTGCCTCTGAATCAACAGGCAGAAAAGGGATTACTGTCCTGGCTGGGGTAATTGATGCTGATTACCAAGAGAAAATGGTTGCTACTGCACAGTGGGAGTGAGGAAGAGTATATCCAAAATAAGACCTCTTAAGAGATTTTAGTACCACCAAGCCCTGTGACTAAAGTCAATGGAAAACTACAAAATTCAATTCAGGCAGGACAACTAATGGCTCAAATTCTTCAGGAATGAAGGTTTGGGTCACTCCATCAGGCAAAGAGCCATGACCAGCTGAAGTGCTTCCTGAAGGCAGAGAGAATATGGAATGAATAATGAAATATAAGTTATAAATACTAGCTATGACCATGTACCCAGTTGGAGAAGCATGGACTGATTATTGTGTTTCTTCCTTATTTTGTAATGAATGTTTTTATGTACATATATCAAATATGTATATATTATAAACGCACACACATATATATATAAAGCAAATGTCTTTCTTCTCTCTTTTATTCTCCATTATAGGTGCATCAAAAATGGTTACATAATATTTAAGCTAAAGTATTACAAGGACAAAAGTGAACAACACCCAAGGACTTTGCATCCTCTTTCAGAGAAAAGGTTAACATGTTCTCAGTTATACGCAACGTAGTTGTATCACATTAAAAGTACGACTTGGTTTTTGTCTTTATTTGGAGATTAAATATGAAGATGTGTACAGGTGCTAAGCTGACAGGGGTAGACTGTGAAGGTTAGTTACATGTGTCATCTTGGCTAGGCTACTCAGTTGCTCATTCAAACATGAATCTAGCTCCTGCTATAAAGGTATTTTGTGGATGTGTTTAATATCTACAGTCCACTGATCCTCCATAATGTGGGTGGACCTCACACAGCAGGTGAAAGGCCTTAAGGCAAAACAGGTTTCCAAGGGGAAGAAATTCTGCCTTAGGATGACAGCACCAGATCCTGCCTGAGATTTTCAAGCCTTTTAGCCTGCCTTATAGATTTTGGCAGTTCCCACAATTACATAAACGAGTTCCTTAAAATAAATTTTATAGATTTTATCTTACTAGTTGTTTCTTTGGCTAATCCTGTTAAAACATTTTCCCCCCAATATCTCATCATCATTTTATTATAAATTTTGTTTGAAACATTTTTTTATTTTGTAATTTTTGAATAAAAATTCAAGTGTAATTAAATTTACAGTGAAAGCCTCACTTGGGATCCCTGTTCTCCCAGGTACCTAGTCCACTCCTGGGAGGCTACCAACGTGACTAGGTTCTGTGTATCTAAAGAGATAGTCTATCACATACAAGCAAATATAAAAACAAATGCATATATTTTATTTTCTACATAATTGTAGCATACATCGTTTCATACCATCCTTTTTTTCATTGAACATTGTCTTAGGGATCATTCCATCTCAGTACCTAAAGTCATCATTCTTTTTTCCATTTTGCAAATGTAGCAATTTAACTAATCCTCTATGATTGTATCCATATAATGCATCTAAAGTGGGATGCCTGAAAGTTGAAAGGAGCTCCAATAATAATTATACCAAGAGCAAGTATAAAGTGGTACTATTTTTTTTTTTAAACATATGGTCACCCTATCTATGCTGGATATTTTGTTTCCAATCCTTTAGTAGTACTAAATTGCAATGAATAGACTTGTACATATATAATTTTGCACACGTACATATGCATCCATAGGATAAATATCTAGAAGTGGAATTGCTGGCTGTGATGGTTAATTTTGTCAACTTGACTAGCCATGAGGTACCTAAATTAAATACTATCTTGTGTCTGTGGATTGTTTCTCTGGACGATCTTAATACATTGGGTCAAAGGTTATGTATATTTAAAAGTTTGACGGCCCAATTGTCCTTCATAAAGGGTATAACAATTTTCACTTCCATACACAGAGTATCAAAAATGCCTGCCCTACTTATTAATCATTGCCCCACTGACCTATATGTCATCTTTATGTTTTAAGTCCATATACGTACTAAAGTCTGTTCTTGGGTTAGTCCGTTCCATCGATCTGTCTTGTGCACCTCATCTAGTTTTATACCATCTTTTAGAAAGAGTTAATCTAGTTTTATATCACCTTTTCAAAAATTTATTAGATTTTCTATAGAATAATTCATCTATTATACTTCAAATAGAAATTTCAGATAGACGAACTATAGAATAATTCATCTATTATACCCTTTCAGATAGAAATTTTAATAATGTAAAGGTCAAATATCTCCATTTATTAGTTTTCTTTCCTGGGGATTTTTATTATTTTATAATTTTTAAATTGAATTTGAAGATGTTTATTACCTTCTATTTTTGGTGGAAAAAATGAAACCTACATTTATATAGCACAACCTTGTGAAATACACAAAGTGAAACTGGGAAAGAAGCATTTTTCCTCTCCTAGTCCTTTTCTGAGGACTAACTCATGAATGGCTCCACTGTAATTAAATATTTCTTGCAACAGTTGGGCACCAATTTTAACATTTATTCATTCCAGTACAGGCAACAATTCATCACTTTCTTTCAGTTACTTCACAATATCCAACCCTCCAACAAACTCCCTTTCACATACAGCTAAGGGTATATCGGTCAATTGGAGTATGTTTTTAATCCTTGCCGAACTTCTTCATCCTCCAATATACCACATGTCTCATATTAAACAGTACTATTTAGTATTTCCAAATTTGTCTGCTGAATCCACAATTAGCTTCCTGTTTCCTTTCATAAAGAGCATCACAGAAGCTTTATTTGTCAATTCTTTGAGCCTTTCCTCTAATTTAGGAGCTCTGGGGCAAATTTTATCTAGTTCTTCAGATGCTTCTAGTTCCTTAATTATATCAAGTCCTCCTATGAGCTCTCTGGAAAGAGCTGGAGATAGGTGGGCCGATTGGAATAGGTTTTGAGGCCTTGATGAACTTCCTCATCTGAGAAGGTATCAAAACTGCTAAACTGAATGTTGTTAAGAATTTCCACCATGTTTGCTGAAACCACAGCGGCTCCTGTGGAGTCCTTTTCATAAACAGCATGCAGGGAGCATCCTGAGTTAACCTCTTCAGGTGCAGGCTGAGGTCTTTAAGGTGCTCATTACTGCCGGTGGGAGGGAGCCCACAGATGTGTGTCATTGAACTTTTTTGGTCAACTTTGGGGCATGTGCACCATCTAATTAGTCAATTTTCTGTGAATTCTTGAAAAACAGAAAGGTGGAACAGAACTAAATTCATATTTTTCAGATACTTCAGGAACAGCTTCTACTTATAACTTAAATAAAACTTGGGCGTGTTCTTTCGGTTAACTGTCATCGCATTGTTCATCTGAACACTGTAGAGCCCATGGTGCCCAAAAATGGAAAAGGAGGGACGTGGCTCTGAAATACAGAAGCTCCTCAAACTACTGGGCTGAGCAGACCTCCACACCTGCAGCTACTGTCCTAGCCTCCCCCACCACCATGAAAATTTTGGTCACCTCAATTATAAAAGAGCTTTTTTTCATGAATCATTGCATTGGCAAAAATTTCCTAGATGCTACTAAATAATCACCCAGATAATGGAAATTCTAGATTTTAATGGGTGTGTCTAGTGCTTCATTAGGTTGTAAGAATTATTTTTCC